GGATAAATGTACGGATTTTTGTACGGATGTGTTCAAAAAAGTTTTGGCCACCCTGTAAATGGCTTAAAACAAAATGATGGTTCCCAGGTGTATCTGGTGAACTTGAATATTATTGAAGTCACAACCTATTAGAAATTACTGATGAGGTGTATAGTTGCAGGAGGAGAATGAAGACAACCCTGCCTCAATGGAGCTTAACACTTTATCGCCTTTTGATAATGTGGATGGAACTTACGACGACCTGGATCAAATACCTACTGAAGACCTGATTAGAATTAAACCTGAAGTAACTTCTGATGACCTCTTCATAAATTACCCTGATGCAACTAGATTCTCAGGAGTGGAAACATTGACTTCAGAAAATTCAAGCATGACAGCATTTTTCGAAGGAAAACCTTTCAATGAGATAATGTACGCAGCTTCAGGTGGTAGAAGTTATGTGTTCGAGTTTCCCGATGAATCTGAGCTTCAAAATACGTATCTGCCTGAGGTTGTTACCGACAGCTTAAAACCCTCAATTCCAACTTCTGCACGAGTTCCAAAAGAACCAACAACAATCCAGTTTAACAGCCTTCAAACTATCAGTCCTCTTGAATGCTTATTAATGTACGCTATTTTCCCTATTTTAACTTTTCTAGTCTATTCTCAATCTTCCGAGTTTCTGGGGTTTGTGCCAATGTGTCGTTTTTTCTCTATATTAGCAGGATTCATAAGTTTCTTTCACCTGGCAATATTGCCTATAAGTCGTGGTCAGAAAGCAATTATTTTTTTTAAAGGAGCAATTATATACTTCGGTGTCAATTGCCTTCTGGATTACGTAGCCGCATAATGTCAATATTATGAAAGAAGAAACTGAATTAAGTTTTGTGTTTGAACATGACTTAAATAATGGATGGATTACATTTATGTGCGTACTTTATAGATTCTTTTTAACAAAAGGCATTATTTATTACTCGGTGTGATGAAACACTTAAAACATGTGAAAATTTTCAATCCGTGATATAAAATAAACTTGTTTGGTGAAAATATTACTTTAATCGCCTTTACAAAACTACAAGATTCTCAATCAGGGTCTTGATTTTTATTGAGTAACTTATTTATTATGAATATTAGATTACAAGTTAGCATAGTATACCAGCTTGTTTAACCCTATTCAGGCTGGCATCTGGTTCACCTAAAATATTCTAGGGGGGGTGTCAGGGACCCCCCCCCCTCTATTTCCTTATTGTGATACAAATCTATAACATTTGATACACTTTTAGAAAGCCCTTGCGCTCTACTTTAATAATCAGCAAAAAAAAAAATTTAATATTTATTGCAATATCAAGTTATTAAGCAAAAGATGTGAAAAAAATGCGGTATTAGGTTGCAAAGAGATAGAGATCAGAAAATTTGAGTTTGTTGCGAGCAGAAATCATTTATTTTAGAATCCGCAGTCTATTTTCTTCTAGTTCTTCTAGTTATTATCGTTGAATTAGAGGTTCTTATTTGAAAAGGAATAGATTTGGGAATTAAAACAACATTTAAGAAAACCTAATTTCTTGATATTCGAAATTACCAAACGGAAACCGGTTTTTATGACATTTTTAAGACGAATTATTTAATAATTCTTGCAAGGACAAAAAAATCTTCAAAATACTATTTATTATTTGCGAAAATACATTAATATATCACTCACACCAAATTGGAGGATTTTGAAGACAAACTAAAATGGCTCGGATGTAAAATTGAAAATGGTGGTACTTGCCTTTTCTTCGTTAAGCATACAACCTGTGTCCAAAAAGTTTTGTAATTTTAGAGGTACTTCTAGACGTCTCAGCTCTTCACATCCCAGTTGTTTCCTCCCAAGGACTTAATTCGTCAAACTTTCTATCTCTGTAATTCACATTTTCCTGGAGGTTGTTTAACTCCGTTGTCACAGCACAGAAAAGTTTTTAATACAAACCTGAGAAAGAGGACAGTTGGGATGCTCGAAACACAAAAATTTGGGCCTGAAACTTTCCAAATAAAAAGCAGACACCTTTGACATTATACAAAATGCATAAGAGAAAAGTAAGATTGACAAGGCAACAGTCTACATGTGGACTAAAAGAGAAACAGCGTAATTGAGTGTTGGCAGAAAGGGGAAATGTCTGAGCAGGAAAAATCCCCGAACAGCTGACACAAGTGATGAGTTGTTTGATGAGTTCGGCGTACAAGGTTGTAAAGCAAGATTTGTTAAATGGCAAAGATTGGGCCAACATTTGCTTCAAAGAGGTCTTGGGGAAAGTTATTAATTGGGTTGCTGAAACGTAGCAACCTTCACTTTCTACAACAAAGACTTAACCCTCCATTGACTTTTAAGTTTACAAACCTCTAGAACTCGCTTAAATATGTAAAGTTTGAGTCTATAGATAAAATATATTGGTTGTGACAAGCAACGTTTACGGGCTCTGGGAGAAAGCTAATTGTGTCCAAAATATTATCTGATTGGCATTAGCTGGTCAGAAAATTAAACCGGTATAAATATAGAGATTTTAAAAAATGAAAGGGCTGAGATGTCCAGAAGTACCTTTGCATTTACCTTGAACATATGCATTCAATCCATTTATACTAACTTTTTTCAAAAGAGAACCTGAACTGAACAAAAATTGTTTCATGATCATCTTTTACTTAGTTAGGTAGTTACATCATTACACTCATGGTGAAATAAAAGCAAAATATTTGAAAATACAGCTAATTTCTTGACCCAGGGGTATATATTTTAAAGAGTTTCCCCCTCCTACTGAGGGGGGANATTAGTTCCAAAATTAACACTTGGCCCATTTCTAACACAGTGTTAGAATGGGCCAAGTGTTAGTTTTGGAACTAATATCTCCTGAAATGAACTTTATTTTAGTTTTACATGTATCTAATTAAGAACTTAATAAGGAGGGGTCTTTTCTTCCGTTTTTCATATTGAGTGATAAACTGCGTTCTAGACAGAATAATAAGAAAAGGAAAACTAGCGTTCACAATCATAACCAGAAAACTCCGAAATAGGAAGACGACTTTTTAACAATACTTATAGCAATACTTTTATAGCAATGTTTTTGATGTTGATAGAAAGCAAATAGTATTACTAGACACTTATTAAATCACCATTCAAGTGAAATAGGTCTGTTTAAGCTAAACAATTGGACTATCTTAAGTCATAATTTGAGTTAAAAATTCATCTTTCTATTCCGGAGTTTTCTGGTTTTCACTGTAGGTAAACTCGAACGCGGAAAATATTTTTAAAAAATTTTATTTTGACCGCTCTTCCGAAATTCGAACATGTTTCTAATCAAAGTATGCATTCCAACATGAAGTGTAGGTAAAAATTTATTTTTATTTTTTTCCATAAAAAAGACCGCCCCCCCCCNTTTAGAAAGCAATTACTTTAGCTGTTAATCAAGATTATGTACAGAGAGGCCCAAAGATTTGTGTATTAGGAAAACTACATTTAAGTCATCTTATGTGCTTTTGATATTATTATATATGCATTGCACAATTGATGTACGTGTTAATTTTATCTATCCTTAATTCAATAACCGTATACTGAATATTCTACCAAATGTTTTCTTTGCACCCAGTGCAGGGTATTCCGCCAAACATGACAGTTAATAAACAAATAAAGGGTTGGTTGTCTTTGATCTTTAATCTTTAATATCTATCTAATGTGTATCAAAGAAATGTTACACGACATGTCAGCTATTCAGTTGGATGTAATTATGATACAGGGTGTTCCACGAAACATTGACAATAGCAAGACTTTAAATTTATTTGTGACATTTAGTTGTTAACCTACTAATTATTCTTAATCAATTACCAAAAATGTTGTCTGCCGTTTTTGTGCTAATAAAGGCAGACCACATTTTGAAGATGCCAGGACCAGAGGTATTTTTTACTAGTAACTTTAGAATTTTACTTCTGAAAGTTGACTAAAAAATAAATTCAGCAAATTATATCAAAAACGACCCTCTAGTCGTCTTGCTACTGTCATGTTTCGTTGGACACCCTGTAACTCTCGATGACGATCTTTGAGTTGCCTCTCAACTGTTATGTACAGTGGAACACCATGTAGCTGAAATATTTAACATACAGGGTGTCCCACGAACATGACAGTTGGGGAATAGTGAGAATGTCTTCTTCCATAATTTATTAAGCTAAATTTAATATCAAAAAGAAAAGTGAAAATTAGTAATTATATAATATATTTTTGTAAAATAAACTGTAAAAAAAATCTTTAGATATCTTGTACAGTGACAGTGTCTAGTACAGTATATGGAAGATGACATTCAAAACTATTCACCAACTGTCAAGTTTCGTCAAAATTTTCAGCTGAATTGATATTTATTCTGAGTGGAGTTGGAGCCTATACACCTACAGAATTTTGTACGACTGTTTAACAACTGTGATTGTTGCTAATTTTACTAAATGTTCCTTTTTTTATACTGCAACAATTTTACTAAATTTTTCTGTGATAATAATTGACTATGTACAAATGTATATTGTTATGATTGAAGAGCTTATGATATTGCATGTTGAATAAACAGTTTGTTTATATATAATCATAATTATAATTGGATTCAGTGAATTTAGTGAAGTGAAGTGATACAGAATAAAGTATAGAGATGATACAGATGATACAGGTTGGATGGATACAGGGAGAAGGATGGAAGGATACAGGGAGAAGGATGGAAGGATACAGGGAGAAGGATGGAAGGATATAGGGATTAGTAAATTTGAAAAAAACTAAAGTATAAACGAGTTTTTTTGTAACATGCCATTAGTGAAAATTCAACTTATAAATGTTTCTTGGACATTAAAGGTTTTTGATTTGGCATTGTTTGATGAAACCCCCTAAAACTCTGGAAAAGGAAGACGACATTAAGAAATTTTACAT